CTCATCGCTATTTATTTTGAAAAAATCTTTGGAAATGCAATTTACCTAATGGCGATCCTGCAGAAATATAAGTAATTGAGCAATTCGGGGGTTGAAAGTAAAAAAAGTATGTAAATTCCATGCGTTGAAATTATAAATTTCCCTTGAGGATTTCCATTTATCGATAGTGATCTCATTTTATGTTCATTAATATGAACTGACCTATATAGTGTAATAATGTTTTATCATCATTGTCTTCATCTTTGACAAAATTACACGGTCACCCGGTATTTATTGTATTTTTTTTAAATAATTTTAATTATTTGGTTTTATAAAATTGTAGCTCATTATCAAACAAAAACCTTGCAAATAAATAGAAACTTGAAAGAATGAAAAAAATCAACAAAGTGTCATCAAATTTTCACAGTTTTTGTTCAGAATTTGTAGACATGTTTTAGGTTAACAATTTTGTAGCCCATTTATTCTATTATAATAAGGTGCAAGTTTGAAGTGTCTAGAAAATACCATTGATTTTTTGAATTTTTCTGTTCGCGGAACGTTCGCATTTTATGTTATATGAATAAATGCGCGTGTAGTGTTGTTGTTTTTTATTCCAATATTTTAAATTAAGCTTTATTTTACAGTTTTTCTTAGACAATGATAAATGATGTACATACATTTCAGTATGGAAAAAAGTGCAACACCTTCAACGAAAAAAGTTCTCACAAAACCAACGCGAATTGAATGTACTATCTCGATCATTTAAACATCTCGGACTCGCCCACCACTAAAAATGATTATTTAAATCTAAAGTATATATTAAATGATATTTAATATTTGCTTTAGAGATGAAATTTCGACAAATTTGTTTAAACAAAAATGTTAAGCGCATATGCAGAATGTGGAAGCGAGATTCTTCTGCTTGCGTTTCTATGTTTATATCATTTATCAGTTTAAGCACATACGATCAAATGTAAAAAAAAATATTTTTAATTGCGGATCCAAAAGAAATATTTGTTAGTTGCATTGAGTTACGCAAAAATAGTGCCGAAAATCAATCGATTGTGCTGAAGGTGCCGGCTGCTTCCGAAAGGGCCGAAAATGGCACAATGCACACTCATTTTCCATCACTGTCACACATACATTCTCACTATTCTGTTGACTCCGTTTTCCCCTTCCGATAACTTTTTGCTTCCGCGCTTGCCCAGCACCGCTGTGCAAAGCTTTACACGCGCAGTCGCCCGCGACACATATGTGCTGATTTGGGCATCCCTACTTTAGAGCATTTCGAAATGGAAAGATTAAATCGTTTTTTTGATCCCGCGATGCTGTTAAACGAAAAATATTCATTCATAATTAAAAAAAACTCCTTCTAAAATAAGCGTTCTACCGGAAAAGTTCAGCTATACTAAAAAAGCTAAACGGAATATACCGTAGTAGACTAATTTTAATTTAAAAATTCTATAGTTACCTTAATCCACCTAATATTAAAAATGGAACCAGATTTGTAGTACAGAAAACGATCAAAATATACTAGTTGAAGCACGATAAAGCTATGGTTCATAAGGATGACGTAATTTAAACAGAATGAAAATAGTTTGCCTCCTTTAATTTGAACTGAATATTTGTATTACTGTCTTATATTTTGGTTTGTTTACCCCGAACGACGTCGGGTGCTGTGCTAGTTATAAATATTAACGATAAAGATTTTTAATGAAAAAAATTTTGAATATTCTGAAAAAACTAAATATCAAATACTTCTGTGAGTTACTGTATACACATATATGTATTTCTACCTTCCACTATGGCTGAAATAAGCACTTTCTGCGGCCAAGAGTCCAATTTTAAATTTTTGCTTTCAATATGGTTAACAAGAGGACTTTATTCTAGGTACTCTATTTAGAAAAGAAAGTATAAATTTATGGCCGCAAGGTAACCCTGGTTCCCTATCTGTCAACTTAAATTTCGTGGTTTTGGTTTTAGTTTGTGCTAGAATTCTATTATACTGAACTGCAGGGCAACGCGGATGTGCTTTACGTATATGGTCAATTCCAAAGGAAAGTAAACCAGCCCGATTTTTTCTTTCTTTCAAATATTGTACATACAAAATCACATTTGCGCGCTTTTTATAATCGAAAATGTATGGTGGAAAGTGTGTTCTAATATCTATTTGATACACAAAAAATGATCACGGTTGTACTTTTTGCTGATATATTACATTTAGTTAAACAATATAAGAATATTGTAGTATGTACCACAAAAACGTATATTTTCTATAAAAATCATAACTCAGAAAAAAAAATCTTCGCTATTAGAGATTTGGGTTGATTGTAGTTCAAAGTGTCTCTTTCCCGGTAAAAAATTTCGAGAGAATAAAATACACTTTTTGAGAAATTAAATTTAAAAATAATTTGCACTTTTTGATTATTGTTAAATAAAAAATTTTAAATAATGAAAATCAATAATTATATCATTCTATCCTGAAGTGACAAGAATTACTGATATTTGAGTAAAAACATTGTTGGAATCTTTTAAATTTTGACAAAGTTATGGGCATTTAAAAAAAAAATTCTCACTGTCAATTCGAATAATCGATTTTTGCCTGAAAAACAAAATCGCGTTTAATTCGGCCGAAAAATTTTTCCGAGCCAAAAGAAAACATACGTGTCTCATTATTTGGATCAACAAACAATGTATTTGAGTTTGGTCGAAATTAAAAATCATGCTTGTACCTGACCGGTTGTCTGGAAATGGAAAGCATCCTATATATTTGCATATAATTCGATTAGATTTCTGCAACATATAAAACTGATAAGTTATCTGCCACGTGATTGTGCCCATAACACTACAATTTTATAGAATCTGACGCAATGATCTACACCAGACTACGAAGAGTTTATAAATCTATTTATTTTGTTAAAAATTGTTTATGTTAGAACTGTTCTATAAAACTGCGATAAATGCATTAACATTTTTTATCTAAGATTAACAAAGTTGTGGAAACCACCGTATCTGATTTGAAATTGTCTTGGATGGCATTTGAAAAAAATACAATGATTCAGAAGGGATTAAAAAGAAAACACACAACATGGTACCTTAGATGAGTTTTTGCATATTTTAAGTTATTAAACATAAGTGGTTTTCGTAGTAAAGTTAAATAAATATTATTTGCGACGATAATACGAAGATTTTCTGGTCAAAAATTTTAGCTTACGATGATTTTTCACCTAGTTCGAATTTTTAAGGATAATCGAATTTTGTTTTTTAATCCTGCAATAGAAGATCCCAATTTTATCTCAAACAGTTGTTTATGATGACAGAATAAGAATGCGAAAAAAAAATGGATGAACAAAGCCTTTTGGTTAAACCTTGCCCAAGCGAACCGTACGTGTAACGTGGCCAGTGTTTTGTGTAACGTTGCCAGTGCCCAAATTTTATGAGCAAAAATTGTAAAAACCTAAAGTTTACAACAATTGGATAAGCAGACGACCATCTACATCCATTATAGATGACATACTGAAAAGCTAGCAATAGTCACCCACCCGTTTCGCAGAAATTTCAAACTTTCTGACACAACTTCCAAATAGTGTAACGTAGCCAGTGCACATTCGAACGCCTATAACTTTGAAACCCAAGGATTTATTAAAACCTTTATTTTACAAATACGTAGATTTCACCTTGCTTGATCATATCACCTAAAAATACCAGTTGGTTTTGTAATATTTACGGGGCAATTGTTTCATATTTTAGAAAAAATGTGTGCGAATGTAACGTAGCCAGTCAAATAATCGGCCATATGTATAAACAGTTTAAGTGTGATTATTTTGGCAATGAAAAATAGTACTAACGGTACATATGTTTTCTATTGACTGTAACAATTGTGGTTTTAAATAACATTTGTGTTTTTGCGTGCATGTTATGATTAAACAAATTTAAACATATTTTGCTTGTTTCGAGGAGTGTGACTTTTTCTGTCCGATCTTGTCCGATATGATTTATATATATATATCGGATAAAAGGGTATTATATCTACTTTCCTCTGGTGTATGAATTATCTGCTCCAACTGACTCCTGTTTGATAAAATTACTATTTTCAGCCGTTATCAAAGTAAAAATTAACAAATATTCATCGTGTGAATGAACCGGAAGTTAATATTTTTAAATAGGATGTATGTGCTTCCGGTCTATTTAACCCACTTCCGGTGGAAACCAGAAGTCAATAATACGGCCAAAAGATAGAGCAACCCCGACTTGGTTCATATTTTCCGTTTTCCAATAAAAACATTTTGCTCCATTTTAGAAGGGCTGGTATATGGGCGGCATGCGTGGTTACGGGCCGATTTCGCTGATTTTCAAACCAACGTCTTTTAAGATTCTCAGAACCATTTGCCCAATATCTTAAGCGCCTATCTGCATTAGTTCATTTTGGACGCTGAAAGTACTTATTTCATGGTGCATTGGTATCTTTTACTGTAAAAACAAATTTCTGTCAAAAAATTTAAATAACATACTTATATTGATGTGCAAACTATGTAAATAATTTTTGTTAACGTTATACATGAATGTAACTCATTTTTGCAAGGACTGACTGCCGGATCTATGTATTTGAATAAAATACATTTTGACTAAATAGAAACTATTAATTTAACATCGGCTATTTTTTGCGATACTATCGCGATAGTATCGATAGTTTTCCGGGAAATTGCTAAATGGTTAATAGTCTGATAATACGCTAATATCGCGATAGTATCGATAGTCTTTCCAGAAATTTCAAAAACTATCGATGGAGCGACTACCCACCAATTTGTTCCTGCTTACAGCCCAACGGAACGATCTAAGTAGATTTTGATGCACGTTGTTAATTTTCGATTGGGTCCCTCAATTTCAATGTGCATGAAAAATATTTGCCATATGTATATACACAAACTATCGGCATGCCTTAATAACGCATTATTAATATTCTTTATAAAAAAAAGCATTTAAATTTATTACTGATTCAATATTTTTCTGATTTATTACAGCCTGTTTACTTAAACATTCGCATACACCCCAACAAAGGTATTTATAAACGTACAATTAACGTAATCTAATATGTATGTATGTATGTATATGAACATTTATCTATGTATTTATAAATGACCGGTGTGGCTGAGTAGTTAGAGGTGCGGAACACCACTCCGCAGGACTTTGGTTCGATCACTGGCCGAGCAGCATCAAAATTAGAAACATTTTTTTTCTAACAGCGCACTATGGCTGAAATAAGCTCTTTCTGCGGCCGAAAATCAACCAACGCAGAGAGCCGCTTAAAATCGTTTAGAACCTTAAAAGATGTTGGTTTGAAAATCAGCGAAATCGGCCCACAACCACATCCACCGCCCATATACCGAGTGTCCCAGACCACCCGCCTAGCCCTACTAAAATGGAGGAAAATATTTTTATTGAAAAACGCAAAAATATGAACTACCAAGTCGGGGATGCTCTAGCTTTAGGTCGTATTACCGACTACCGGTTTCGACCCGGAGTGGGTCAAACAGACCGGAAGTCCATTATTTTAACCGCAAGTCCATTCTAGAGAAACGTTTCTCAAAAAGTTACGTATTTTTGTCCGCAGAATCCGAATCTGTGGCAAAAAATGTATGTCCTATTTAAGAAATGGACTCTGGTCCATCCACACGTTGAATATTTGTTAATTTTTTACTTTGATGACGTCTGGAAATAGTAATTTTATCAAACAGCAGTAAGATGCAGCAGACCATTTATACACCAAATGAAAGTAGATATAATGTCCTTTTATCAGATATATATATATATGCCATACCGGACGAGATCGGGCAGAAAAAGTCACACTCTACGAAACAAGGACAATATGTTTAAATTTGTATAATCATAACATGCACTGTGAAACAATGAATTTTTCAAAAACACAAATGTTGTTTAAAACCACGATAGTTGCAGTCAATAGTACACACTAGGGTTGCTGCGAATATTTTTCCGAAATAAAAGTCCTTTCCGCTTAATAAACAACCGCCTGTCCAAATTAAACAAATTTGGTATCATATGAAAGAGGACTGAAATAGCTTTTAAACAGAGATACCGAAGGACGTCTATTTATATTTTTTTATAATTTAATACTAAAGAAATGCATATACCTGACACAAGATTTATTTTATGGTAATTAGTTAACATCTTTTATTGAAATATTTTTCAATATGTGGCTTTCTTCGTTTAGATATTTCAGTTTTAAAGCTATTTAAATCCTCTTTCATTTGACACCAAACTTGTTTAATTTGGATAAGCGGTTTGTTTATTTTCCGGAAAGAACTTTTATTTCGGAATAATATTCGCAACAACCTTTCCGGATAATAAACAAACCGCCTATCCAAATTAAACAAAATGGTATCATATGCAAGAGGACTAAAATAGCTTTTAAACAGAAATAACGAACGACCTCTATTAATATTTTTTTATAATTTAACTAAAGAAATTCATGTAACTGGCACAAGGTTTATTCTTTGGTAATTAATTAACATTTTTTATTGAAATATATTTCAATATGTGGCTTTCCTCGTTTAGACATTTCGTTTTAAAGATATGTAAGTCCTCTTTCATTTGATACCAAACTTGTTTAATTTGGATAAGCGGTTTGTTTATTATCCGGAAAGCACTTTTATTTCGGAATAATTTTCGCACCAACCCTGGTACATACCATTATTATTATTTTCCATTGTTAAAATAATCTAACTTCAAACTTTTTATTTACGCAAAAATAAATCCGCGTTGCACTGTAGTTCAATATAATAAAATTCTAGCACAAACTAAAACCAAAACCACAAACTTTACGCTGACAGATAGGGTACTAGGGTTACCTTGCGGCCATAAATTTATAATTTCTTTTCTAATTAGAGTATCTAGAATAAAGTCCGATTGTTAAAAACTTTGAAAGCATATACTGAAAACTGGACATTTGGCCGCAGAAAGTGCTTATTTCAGCCATAGTGCAGCGGTGGTCGCCCCTCGGCAGGTAATGATAAACCTCTAAGCGTATTTCTACCATGAAAAAGATTTTCATAAAATCCATTTGCCGTTCGGAGGCGGCGTAAAACTGTAGAATACTCCATTTGTGTAATAACATGAAGAGGCATAACACGTGAAGGAGAAGCCCGACCAAACTCATAGCAAAAGTGTAAGCGATCCAACGACCCCAGCTGATTCGGCCAGTTGCCTACGCACCGTACTAAGTTCGCCTTGTAAATTCTTGTTTCTTTGTTCCACTTTTTCATTTATGAAGCCAATTAGAATCAAGCGCAACTATTCCAGTGCTATTTAAACTTGATCATGTTGTTTTTGGTTTTTCTCAATAACTCTATTTTTAGGATGTTTAACTTTTAGGTGTGCTCCTCCTTAAGTTATTAGTTTTTGTTATTTTATGGCCTTATAACAATTATATTGAACAATTTTTATTGAGCTTGAGGCCGTTTTTAATGAAAAATTATTGTGGAAAATCAACATTGGGTTTTGTTATTTTATGGCCTTATAACAATTATATTCAACAATTTTTGTTGAGCTTGCGGCCTTTTTTAATGAAAAACTTATTGTGGACTGCAACAATAACTTCAAAAAATGGTAGAGGTGATAGCTATTTCAGGAATCACCACATTTCCTCATCAGAATTCTTTCAGTAGGATTCGAACCGACGATCCCACTGACTCAGCCAGTTGCCTACGCACTGTGTTAAGTTCGCCTTGTAAATTATCGTTGCTTTTTTTCTCCCATCTCCGAAAATATAGTTCTGCTGCCTAGAAGGCCTTGAACAGACCAGAGGGTGCTCCAGACCGAGGTTAGTTAGGGCGCGGAGAACAGCCTCTTGGAGAACATTATTGAAGGCACCCTCGATATCAAGGAATATGCCTAGTGCATGTTCCTTAAACGCTATCACCTTTTGAATGGTGTTAACAATACTATGCAAAGCTGTACCTACCGACCTGCCTTTGCAATAGGCATGCTGACAGCTAGATAATTTACTTATATCAATTTCCTGTCGGATCTTTAAGTCCAGAAGTCTTTCCAGAATCTACAGAAAGAAAGATGTAAGGCTTATCGGTCGAAAGTCGCTGGACTTCACGTGGGATGGTCAACCGCCCTTAGGAATGAACACAACCTTCAGCAGTGTCCATCTCTTCGGCATCAAGCTAAGTCTGAGACAAGCCTTATAGATTGAGACAAGCATCAGACATAGAATGTCAGACGTTTCCCGAAGTTCGGTAGGGAGGATGCCGTCCATGTCTGGAGATTTGTAGGGCTGGAAGGACCTTATGGCCCAATTTACCTTTTCTACATGAATAAAATCTATATATTCTAAGGAGCGTCCAGAAGGTATGTGTGGGAAATGTGCGCTCATTAGAATCTCAAGCATTTCCTCTTGGGATGATGTTCAGTCACCATTCGGCTTCTGAATAAACATTGGGTTCATCGGATTTTTGGCAAGCACTTTCCGCAAGCGAATACCTTCCGATTGTTTTTCTATGCCATCGCAATAATCCTTCCTGGAGTCCCTTTGGCTTTATAAGCAGACCAAGAACCATTACGCTTTGCCGCGTTGAAGAGTTTCCTGCTTTCCTTCCTTAAAGAGGCGATTTCTTTGGTCCACCAGTGTGGCTTTCTCTTTCCTCTCGGAAGTACACTTGGGCAGGACGCAGAGAAGGCCGTGTTGCTGGCATTGGTAATGCAATCTGCGGCTTCTTCAATTTGTTCCGATAAGCTTAGCTCACCGAGAGAAGCAGGGTGTGCGAATAGAAGCTCCGCTTCATCAGATAGTAACAGTAATCCGAGCCTACTGAGAGAAGCGTCGTTGAGCAAAGACTCCCACAGTACCTTTCTAAAGATAGTCCAGTCGGTAGGTCTCTTGTTCCTATACAGAGCCGGGGCCGGAGACTCAAAAGAGATTTCAAATGATAGGTACATATGATCAGAAAATGAGTAGTTGTTTAGTACATGCTATTCCCTAATGCTCTCAAAGAAAAAGTCAAACGTTAAAGTAATACCTAGTACCTCCTTCCTGTTTGAGGTAACAAAGGTGGGTCTACCACCAATATTACAAATGACTGGATTGTAAGATAGTATCACATCAAATAGCAACTCACCTCTAGGGTTAATGTCGGTAGAATCCCATAACACGTAGTGCGCGTTTGCATCGGCTCCTACCACGACGGAAAACTTCCTTAAATTGGCCTCTTTCACCACGTCCGGGGGACAGTCTTGGCGGTCGTGGGCCATATAGCTTCAGAATAGCCCGAGTTTAGTGGATTTGCCCTCCACATTGCTGTGTCGCCGTGTCTTCATCGCTAAAATGAGGTGAGTAAATTATCTCTGATATGCTGAATATGCTCTGATCTTACCTGCCACTGGGGCCGACACAATGTGGTAAGCATCAGAGTTAAGTCCGCAGACCCGGTTTTTTACAACCCAGGGCTCTTGGACTAAAATTAGCCCCTCCTCTTTATCACTAAGGTGTAGGAGCAGAGCTGCGGAGGCTGCTTTGGAGTGGTGAAGGTTAATTTGCAGTCGCCATCCATAGCTCCTGGCGCGGTACCTTTTTACACCTCCACGACAGTATCATCGGCGTCCTCCGTTCCCGATGCCAGAAACAGGTTCTCGAAATCCCTCATCCAGCGACCAAAGACAGACCCGTCCCCAGAATCGGATTGCATACCGCCTCCCGATTCTGATGCCGAGTCTAATTCCTCCGCCAGACGAGTGACCTCGGGAACCTCCTGGACTTCTTGGCTAAAGCCAGGACCGCTCGAGGTGTTTTCTGCCCTACTCAAAATTAGGCCTTTTTCGGGTGGCAGATTATCGGTTTCACTCGCGGTGCTTCCCGGTTCAGGAATTTTACCTTCATTCCATTTCTAGGTTTTGAGAGTGATGGAGTAAAAGCCATAACTGATGACTCCATTACAGACAGCGAGGATCGGGAGAGATTCCTCGTTAATTACCAGGGTAACATAACGTTGATTCTCCCAAACCTCGCTGACCTTCACTACTTTCCAATCAAGGGCTGG